TCGAGATCAGTGCAGACACTACGCGACATCGAGGTGAGTTACCTTCCAGTAGGGGTGGGTCTACGGCCACAATGTCAGCCCATCAGTAAGAGTTGTTAGATGATTGTCTTTGTGATAATTGTCAATGTTTGCTACTACCTGTTACGTTTATGTGCTAGTATGATATGATTTTTGTGGTAGTAGTAGGGGTGAAATAGTCCCCGTCACCGGTTGAGATAAACCGGAGGGGTAGGTCGTACCCCCGGTATGTAGACTATGGGTAGGTTAGCACCCCGGTATGCCTAGAGGGGTAGGTTGACCACCCCGGTATGCTCAGCAGGGTAGGTCGGGCACCCAGATATGCCTGACATGGGGTAGGTCGGGCACCCCGGTATGCCTGACAGTATGTGTTATGTATAGTATGTGGTATGATGGGGGAAATCTCTAAGCTTTGTGCTTACGGTTTACAGTATTGGTTTCAGGTACCTCTTCAGCGAAGGGGAAGGAGCCGGCGCGGTAGCGACACATCACACACACACTGGATTCCGCACTATGAGACTCCTGAGATTGTACTCTGATTTTCATTACTTTTGGTGATTTGGTTTTGAGATACGATATTATGGTTTTAGGGATTGATGTAACAATGGCGATGATTTGGTTAACTATTTTATAAATTACTTAATTAAAATGAAATTTTTGGCCTTGAAAATTGGGATGTTACAATTTTCCTACAACAACAGTTTCCACTCGAGCATCAAGATGGCACCTTATCAAGCCTTGTACGGACAGAAGTGTCGTACGCCGTCTTGTTGGCTTGAGGCTGGGGAAAAGCGTTTAGGCCCGAGATAGTCCATGAGATGCTGAGAAGCTGAAGGTGATCAGGGAAAGGATGTTAGCAGCTCAGGATCGTCAGAAGAGCTATGCTGACAATAAAAGACAACCGATGACCTTCGAAGTTGGGGATTCGGTTTTGCTTAAAGTCTCACCGTGGAAGGGACTTATAAGATTCGGTAAGCGAGGAAAGTTGAGTCCAAGGTTTATTGGACCATTCAAAGTTCTTCATAAGATTGGAAACCAAGCTTACAAGCTCGAATTACCCAAAGAACTAGATGGTATTCATAACACCTTCCATGTGTGTTATTTGAGGAGGTTCACGGGAGAAGTTCCTGACATAATTCCGATGTCAGAGTTAAGAATGGATGAGAATAAGAGGTTAATCGAAGAGCCCGAGGCAATTGTTGACCGTAAGACTAAGAAGTTACGACGCAAGATGGTCGACTTAGTGCTAGTCCAATGGAAACGTTCAAATGGGCTGAATCTCACTTGGGAAACAGAGGATGACATGATGAGTCGCTATCCATATCTGTGTTTGCTGACGCATGATTCCAGGACAGAATCATCCAAAGGGGGAGATAATTGTAACGCCCGGGTTTCGGGGCTAAGCATTATCAGATGATGTAATAGTCTAGGTAAACTATTGTAACTCTTTTTGAAGTAATAAAGATGAAATATTTGAGTATTATGTGAATTATGTGAATTTATATGCTTATTATTTATTTATAAATGTATAATAAATAAAGGATAAAAATAAGCATCAAAATTAAAGTGTGAGATAAACCCGATATCTCTACATAAAGTTGTAGTGGTCGAAACAAGGATTCCGGGGATATAAAGAACGCCGAAATCCGAGTTATAACGAAGAAGTTATGACCCGTCGAAGTTTCGCGACGGAACCGGCACGACACCGGGAAACGTAAATAGTGAATTTACGATAGAGCGACTTTTAGCCTTAGCGATCTAAACGAAAGTCATAGAATACGTTAAACCAAGAGTGTCCATAAAAAGAACGCCCAAATCTGAATTCGTATGAGGAAGATATGATTTTTCGAAGTTTCGGCTTAGCAGTGTACAGCCCGAAGTTCGAATATTAGATCGAGCGGTTTTTAGCCGACACAACCTAAACGAGAATCGAAGATCTCGTTAATATTAGCACATCGTTAAAAAGACAGACGAAAACGGACGTCGGATGAAGAAGTTATGAATTTTTAACAGACCAATCCTGTCCCGGCCTGTTAAAAATATAAATTTAAAACAAAGTCAAAATTAGCCGACGGAGTCTAAACGAAAGTTGTAGAGTACGTTCTCGCCTACGCATGGATATAAACAAAGTCGAAAAAGGAGCTCGTATGCGAAAGTTATGAATTTTAGAAGTCGGGAAGGAAAAAATTGCGAGACTGATGCGAAATTGATGACGTGACACAATCACTGCCATCGCTTGCGGCCCACGGCCTAGCTTCGGATGGAGACACCTGGCCTCTCATACGCGTCGCGTAAAAGGGTACGCCCCGCGTTCGGAATCGCTTGGTCTCGGAAGCTCCACGTCGCCCCACCGAGGTCTCGCCACCTGGTAACCCTATCCAAACTACGCCCCGCGTAGTGCTGTACGCCCAGCGTACCACCGAAGACTCACGCCTATAAATAGGTTGCGAGGGCTGCCGAAGAAATCACACCAAAATTCATTCTCTCTCTAATTTCTTTCTCTCTCTAAGATCCCTAACCCCCCCCCCCCCCAAGCCTAGGTAAACCTCCTAGCACCTGAAGGAAGCTCCGAGGCTCCCGAAGTCCCGAGAAAAAGGGTCTTTCGGTTCGGAAACGCTGCTCCAAGCAAAGCCCGGTTTTCTATAAAACCCGTTGTAAGTGAGCTACGCCTACGCTATTTTTAATATAGCTTCTAATTAATTATAGTAACATTATTAGGACCTTAAAATAATTATTTGGGCTATTATTATGAGTTATATAGAGCGTTGTTTAACGCTTATATAATAGTAATAATAGCTAGACTATTAATTAGTTGCGGTTAACGTTAGACTAAACCTTAGTGGTATTGATACTAGGTTTTGTCAAGGGAAAATTGTTTTGAGATAACGAAGCGTTGTCCGAGTTCGGAATCACCACCTTAACAAGTGACTGCATAGTTACTTTTATCTTACACATAGATATGATGTATTTTATATAAATTATGTGCTACGTGTGCATATTATTTGTATACTTGCTATCTATGCTGGATGAACGATTTTATACATGTTTTAAATGATTTAAACTGTATATGTATTTTATATCTACAAAATGTGTTGGTAAAACATGGGTAGATGTAATAGTTGCTGTGTGACAAAATAAAATAATAAGAGGCCTCGTTATAGATGTTATTGATGATCCAGTCATCTAGCGGAGTATAGATGACGACCACAGACTATTCTAGACAGTCCAGTGGAATGCTAGCAGGCTCGCAACCTGTAGGTGTTTATTTGAACTGTGTGCTCACCAGCAGTACTCCATCCCCCACATGGCTGCCTTATTTGACATGAATTGCTGAGGAACCCCCGAAGCATGCGTTGTCACCCCGATGAAAGTCCTTAGACTAGGTCCCTTGTGTTAGATGTTTTAGGGACGTAAAGTGAGGATAATGGGAAGGGGTAATCGGGTTTGTTGATGAAAACAATAAATTTATTTATTGTGGGTTGAAAACCCTATGTGCTCACAGGCTCCCAAGCCTGACCCACTCAGTTTCTTGTATTACAGGTAGTGGCGCATGAATATAGATGCTTGGATGGGAGATAAGGGATTATAGGTCTGTAAATACGAAATAATGTAGTAAGGCTTATGTTGTACTGTTTATGCTTTTGATCTGTATCGAACATGACATCCCGAGTCTTTTAATGAAATACATTTCTATGGAAATGCTTTGATAAATCTTTATCAAATTTTGTTTTGGGAACAAATTCCGCAACTCTTTTATTTAAATTATTACTCTGATTTTTAAACAAAGCATAAACTAAATCGGTCTTTTCTGGCCGTGAAAATGGGGATGTCACATGGCATTAATTTCAACTGGGTTCCATTCCACATATATTTGCAAACCTTCGCTTGTTTTAATCTCTGCCACCCGACAAGCCTTCATGCATCTGGTCACCTTCAGCTTTTGTTGACTATCTAATGAGACCCTCAAAAGTCCCACCTGCATCCAATTCCCTTTTTTACCATCTGCTTTTCTATTCCGAGACTGTTAACATTTCCAAGACCAAGTTTTTGTTGCCTTCACATTTCAGAGTTGGACCCCTCCTACATTGAATCCAACCCATCATTTCGCTGCAAACCTTTTCCGAGATCCGACGGGGGCGAGATGTCTTCCACTTCTGACACGTTTTGTGAACTGATCCTAATTTCGAACCCATTTTCTTTGTTTCGGATCCCATCTTGGATTCACAAAATCCATATCAATTCCGAAATTAAACCTTTTTGTTAAAGCAATTTATTTATAAAAAAAAACAATTTTCTTTATTCTTTTTTTTAATACCAATTATTTTATTAAAACCATATTTTTTAAAACCAATTTTTTTTAACACCAATTATAGCTCTAAGGTTCAATGATTCATTCTTCTTGCTGATTATGAGTGAATACATAGTTGGTTCATAGATTATTATTTGTGTGATCTTCCTCTTTCACTACTAGAAAAACAGCCTTTTACGACGCGCAATGCGTGTCGTAAAACACTCAGACGACTCGTAAATGCACGTCAAGGAAGGCACTGTCATAACGAGAGACGACACGCTTTTGCGCGTCGTATATTGACGATGCGCATTTACGACGCGCATTTATGACATGCAATGCGTATCATTAAAACCCCTTGTCAAGAAAGGTCATGTCATAAATGAAGATGACACACATTTTTGCGTATCGTAAATTTAAATGTTTAAAAAAATATATTTATATATTTATTAATTTTTAAATTAAATTTGCATTTAATGTCTCATAATAGAAATAAAATACCATATACAAAAAATACAATCCATTGCATAAAATTTAATGTCATACAATTCTATTTCTTACAATATATAAATTTGCATTCATCTAATCTACTCTGTGTTTTATACTAACAATTGAAATGAAGAATGCAACACTTGCATTTGCAGCATCTTATCTCTTTTAGCTTGAGCTTTCTTTTCTTTTTCTAACTCCAGAGCTATTCGCTTTCATCAACCCTATAAACACAACACAAAATCACTTGTCATTTTCATTCTACTTTTAAAATTAATTCTTATTAGGACATTCTACTTTTAAACCTACCAATCTAGCAAATTTTTCAAAGAATATAATTTATATTTTTTTTATGGAAAGTACATTGCTATTTCTTGAATACAAGATGTTACAAATTAAGAAACTTACATGGACTGCTGACCACCAGTTTCCCGCATCATCTGAGTATATATGTACTCATCAACTCTCTGCTTTGCCAAAGCAACCTATTTCACATCAAATTAAAACTGATTTTAATCAAATTTGTATTATAAAAATATTAATCTTATTTTGATAACTAAAAGTTGCAATTTTTTTTAAAGGAATCACCAACCTACTGAGCACTACCACCCAAGTGAATTCGTCTATGTTTGTTTTCCCCTTTCCCACCATGAACCTGCAAGACACGAGACATTAAATAAATCAAAATTAAATTTTGATTTTTTTTCCTTTCAGTAACGATTAACATTTAACAAAAAAAGGCCAACCCACTCCATTTGCCTCATTCTAGCTAACCCACTCCCTGAAAATAAGAAAAAAATAAAAAAATATCAACCAACATTTTACTTATATTTGAGAGGTTTTCATATTGATTTGTTTATTTGTTAATAAATAGTTTACATACTACACCTATGGTATGGATCCATTATAAGTAGAATTGTAGAGCAGAAAAAAAATAAAAATATATCAACCTAATAATTTGCATCATATGGTATGGATCCATTATAAGTTAACACAAAAAATGGGAAAAAAAGACAGAAATACCCCTCTCCATACCAGCAAATCAAGCAAACAGTTTAAGAACGAAAGCCTAACGGATCTTCTGATTTTCTTGCTTCGGTCTGTCCTTTTTCAGAATCTGCTATTATTTCTGCTTCTATTTTCTGTCAAAAGAATACCAATCACTTGCAATATAATTGTCAGTTAGATTCATATCTTTTGGGAGTTGTTCAGCAAATGGGCTATTATAGTGTTCAAATAATATTGCTAGCTTCATCTCTCAAGGGCACTATGGGAATTTAACTTTTGGATGTTCTGTCTTATATGCTCATCGTTCAATTTAATGTGTATTTATTTAGACTGTAATCTAACAAGCAAAGTGGTGGTTGGTGATGATGGAATCAAGGAGAGGGACTTCAATTCAACAGGAGAGCCCCTTGAATCAGAATGATTCCATATGCTTGCACAAAGTGATTAAGATAATTTGACGAAAATACCCTAGAAAGTAACTACTCAGGAAACAAGTGATGGATAAATATAAAGAATTAGCTTAAATACAGATTTCATACTTGGTTATTTTGTTCTAGTAAATTCCTTATTGAGCCACCTAATGCTGCATCAATTAGTAAATAAATCCATTGTGTTAGAAATATCCTAAAAACCTACAAGTAATGTAAATATTATGAAGGATAATTTTCAGCTATGAACTATATTTATCCATATATTCAAAAGTAATATTATCAATCTGGACATGATTATTCATGGTAACAGAAAATGGAGCCACATTTAATGTTGGAACTGATGATATACTTGGCTTTGTAGATGATTCCACCAAATTATCCTAAAAATATATCACAATCAGAATGCTGATTTTTATACTAAAAGATATTTTTATAAAAAATGTATGGTTTCATAAGTATACCTTCTTATCTTTCAACTCATTTACAATAAAACAAATAATAATAATAATAATAATAATAATAATAATAATAATAATAATAATAATAATAATAATAATAATAATAACAGCTTCTAATTTTACTAACCTGGTTGAGGTTAAGGAGGCTTAGGAATGTATATTCTTGGACTGAATTGAGAATGCCTAGCATCCCAAATCCTACATGATCCATCATCAGACAACCTAAACAAAAAAATCAAAAATCAAAATCAAAATAGTATGCATAAGAATAACATCATATAAAGTTACAGATAATATCCATTATGTTCAAATCATAGGGGAATCAGTCAGCAACTAAGGGTGTTTGGATGTGAATTGAATCTTTATGGGTTTGGTTGACATATGATTAATTTTATGAAATAAGGGCAGAGAAGTAATTTTACTCCACCTTTTGAGTTTTGATAGGTGTGCTAATGTAAGCTACCACAATCAATAAAAACATAAGAAATAGAAATCAGTATACCAACTATAAACATATAAATGTATAATAAGATGAAAACAGAGAGCATTGCATTATCAATACAAACCTTGTGGTTCTTATCATCTTCTCACTAATGTGAAGAAGTAATCTTGCAGTTGTTCTATGATTTGCTCTAAGATCTAGCACTCAACCAACCTGATCGTATTTTGAGAAGTATGCTTCAGTTTGTATTTTCACCTTTTACCTATTGCAACTTAAGTTTTATAACATCTTTAAATATCTAACAATATAAGTCCATTACCATATAAGAAGTCTAACCATGAAAGCAGAAGATAGAATACCATCTTTAAAATTGTTTAAGTCAAATTCGCCCTTGTAGAAAAGAAGGTATAAAGAACATGAAATTGGGTCTCGTTGAGAATTTCAAGATTAGCTTAGATGGATTTCTTCTAAATTGATCAAGAAGTGAAAATACGAACAGAGAAGAAACATAAAGAAGGTACCTTTTGGGACTGAACCAAGAAGGAGCAGGATCAGATGGGTATCGTTGACGGGCGGCGCGTGGGTCGGCGATGGTGGCGGAGAGGAGATATGAGTGATATGGTAATCCCTAAAAACCGAACCCAAAAATCTCTATATCAGATTTACAAATACACAAACCTCGCTTTTTTCCTTTTCGTTAGAACCAAGTGAAGGTCAGATGACGGAGACGATAGTGGTAACTGATACACAAGGAAAACCTTGTCAACCACCATGAAACAATTAAGACAAAGTTACAGGGTTTTCGTTGCTTCAGCCTTCGTTGTTCACAAGCATGGAATGAGAATAGAGGAAGGGGCTTGTTTAGCTAGGGTATTTTGAAACGATTGTGCGTTGTGGTGGTATGTGTATCCAGACAGATCGACATGTGAGTAATGGAGTAGTAGTGGTGGCCATCATCTCCATTGTCGATCGCATACATTAAGGGAGAGGGATAACGAACCAGATGGGTGAAGTGGTGCATCAGTGGCTATTGTTTTAGCGATCCGGTGGGGGACTGTGGTGGTACGATAGGAGCAGAGGCAAGAGCGGATGAACCTGGTTCAGAAAACTAGAAGGGTGATTAGGGTTTTCCAGAGAGAGAGAGAGAGATAGAGAGAGAGAGAATGCAGAGGTAGAGGAAGAGGGCAACTTCAAAAGGATTATTAGGGTTTTTTGTTTGAGGATTTTAGAAAGAGAAGAAGGAGATGAATCAGGCGAAGAATGATTATTAGGGTTTTTTGTTAGAGGATTTTAGAAGGAGAAGAAGGAGAAGAAGGAGATGAATCAGGCGGCTGTTTAATTTTTTGGGATTTCATTTCCCACCATAGATTATTAAAACAACGGAGAACGCGCCTTTCTAAAAAATATAAACCGACACATTTACACGACACGCTTTTTATGATAGGTGCCCTCCGTGTTTTTTTTGTTGGACACTAATTTTAGGGCGTGCAAAAATGCGTGTCCTCTATCCTTCAAATTTTGGAAAACTGACATTAATTTTTAGATCAAGCACAAATGCGCGTCCTCTATCAGTGTGTGTCATTAATTGCACGTCATAAAAAGCTGTTTTTCTAGTAGTGTTTCCGAGCAACTCACATTTGCAGTCTCCGATTTATACGATTCAGAGATTCGGATCCACATATTTTCATTCGGAAACTTTTCTGATCAGCAACGTTTTCTGAGGTTCACTTTTTTACTTCCTTCGGACTGGTTACATATGATCTCGGACCATCATTCAGACCGATTAGAGGTCTAGACTGGTTCACTTCGACCTTGGTTGATGAGTCATTGGTTGTGTTTTAGTAGTTCGGGTTTACATTTCGGTTATCACCATTACTTCGGTTCAACATTATGGTTCTTCAATAGTGGGTTTATCACCTATATTCTGTGGTGTTTGTTCAGTTCGACAATACATGACCAAGTCTACCCATGACCGAAAAATAATATCCTCATTTTTACGGGTAGATGCTCACATCAAGGGGGAGCGTACGATACTCCATCATATTCGACATATTCTCTTGCCCAGTTTCATGATTATTTTTGATGTTTATTGCATGGTCGATCAAAAATATGGGAGAATCATGAGCATCCATTCTGGTTTATTATTGGAGTTTTGACGATACAGACATTTGAAGACGGAGATGGATTTAGTAATGTGATGTGGCACTAATTTTCAATCTTTATAGATCAAATTTTTGGCATTACTATATGTTCTTCGGATTATGATTATTTATCTTCAGACTCTACATTTTGCGATGTCTCATTTGTGTTTGCATCTGGATCAGACCTTATGATTTCTCGAGTTTGGATTTGCGATACTTTGAAGACGACGATTATTTTGGCGATGTGATGTGGCACTTATTTTTGATCTCCTTATCAACGGACTCACATTATTTATTATTCGGACTTCAGTTTTGGATGCTTCACATTTTTAGCAGCTTATTCTTCAAAGATTATTTGGTGCATTATCACTCGACTTCGGAATATTGAAGACGTTGTGTGATTCGACAATGTGCTCTTCGGTTCAACAGTCGAGGGGGAGACTATGAACATGATTGGGTTTTTGGGGACTGATCACATTCGAAGATTGGGATTTCATATTTTATTCAGAGTTGGTACCTCTATATGTTCTTTGATGCTAGAGATTTTATTGCCAGATTTCGAGGTCACGCCATCTTTAGCTTTTCAGAGACACTTCAGCACCAGACCTACCAGACCTGCTCGTCGGATGTTCTGCATTTTTTTTATCACTGATTTACCTTCACCATTTCGGAGCATTTAGGGGGAGATTGTTAGAGCATGAAAATGCTCTACAATGATGAGTGTATATTAGGTTAGAATATTCCCTTGTATGGAAAGCATATTCCCTCCACTAGTATATAAAGTGGAGGTGAGTGGTCATTTTATTGTATTAGTGCATTATGTACACTTTAGAGAAAGAGAGTGTTTCGGTGGGGATTCTCCCCATGCATGATTGTTCTTCATGTATCATGTTTATTCTCTATCTATTCATTATCAGTTTACTCATATATTATGCTCTTCATTGTTCATACGATCATCTTCTTGATATTATTATTCCGTACCAATCCAATCGGCAAAATGGGTTCCTACAACCACAACGTAAGCCATCCTCCATGTCGTCCCTTTTTTTCTCCGGTGAACTACTCCGGTAGAACAACGCCAAAAGTCTGGCGCCTCCTTTTACTTATCTCCTGTTTTCTTCCGTCTTGATATTCTTTCTGATGCGCCGACTTGATATGAGGTTTTATGGTTATTTTTTAATGTTTACATATATACAAATTATATAAAGGGATGTGATTTATCCACATAGGTTTTTTTATCCATCCATAGAAAAAAGATGTGAATTGACAATTATACCCTAGCTTTTTAATTTTTAGATATTTAACAAAGAAAATCTTGCAAACTCCATACAACACCACGGCTCACCATGCCATCTTCTCCGAGTACTCCCATCTCTACAAGGCCTCCATAGTTGATCAACACTCAAACACAAAATACCCTTGTAATTATTAATCGATCATCTAGTTCTCCATTGTCGATTCGTAATCGAGCCAAAAACTACAACATTGATCTTCCAATTTCTCGATCTTTAGGCTCTGCATCATCGATATTCAAAATTTTCGATTTTCTTGTTGGTGTTATTGTCCTCAGTTTCACAGGTACAAGTCTCTTACATATTTCTACTATTGTACTGTTTATATTTTCATCTTTAATTTCTATTATCCTTGCACACCAACTATTTATTGTTTATATTGGTATTGTTTAAATTATCATCTTTAATTTCTATTAGAATTTTTGGATTGGATTCCCGGATAAGCATATGCTTTGAATTCTTTAAATGTAGACTATATGATTGATTATTATATTGCTACTTGCTATTGGAAATAACCTAATCGGATTCATTTTTCCTTTAAAAAGATGTTTGCATTTTCATAGTGTTATTGTGCCACAAAACGATTTCAATAAAACTACAACTTATATTATCTCTCAGAACCCTTTCCAATTTCTATTTTGAATCAAAATTGGAATTGGTACTTGGATTCTGCTTGTTTTGCATTTGATTCTAATTATGTGGAATGTTTTTGTAGGCAGATGGAGATCCAGAGACATGAAATATCTAACATTGGTGTTTGTCATGAAATATTTAAGATTGGTGTTTATTTGGGCAGACGAATTTTCATGGTCTCAAAAAAGGTGTGTACTCTCTCTCTCTCTCTCTCTCATTGTTGTAGAAATAAGAACACGATTTTGATTATTTTTGTGTGAAACTATGAATCTTATTTACTATTCTGAAAAAAACAAGTGGTTTTATTAACAAGATAAGAACATGCTTCCAAGCATATCCCAAAAAAGATAGAATTCGACATTAGAAATTTGGACATTGAAGATAAAGTTTTCATGAATGAAAAGTAGGAAACAAAGGATTAACGATTAGGTACGGTTGTTTCATCATGAGCTGTGTGCCGTTTAGAGTTTCCAAACCTAGGACTTTCTATCTTTTAATATCTAGAAACTAGGTTTATAACCTGTGGAAACCACGGTCGGTATATTTAAAATTTTTATATAGATAAGAAAATAATAAATGTCACAAAAGAAAACTATTGTTGATTGTAAGTAATTATGAATTAATTTGTTAAGCAAAATAAACATAATAATGTTATTAGGATATGATTTTGTATTTTCAAAATTTGAATTTAATTTGATTTTGTTACCAAAAGAAGAAAATAATAAAAATCATAGGAAAATGCCACGTGTCAAAAAGATATTCTAAAAAACTGACATGTGTCATTTTTAGGTTTCATTTATTAGAATAGTTAGATGAAAATTAATGGTAAAATTGTCAATACACATTATTTTATATGGATGGATAAATATATTTAGTGGAATTAACCAGCTCCCATTATAAATCTTGTGCTAAAAGAATTGAAGCAAAAATCCAAACCCCTACATGATTCCATCGTAATCCAAGCCACAGTTCTGAATTTCATTTTTTACCCCTAAATAAAACTCTTTACATTCTAAGGTTTCTAAACTTAACCATTTTAGTCTCAAACGTAATCTATACTTCATATTAGGTTAAAAATTATTTCGAATTATTGTTTTAAATATTTCTTCTTCTTATTTTTATTATTTTAGTATATATTTTATTTCATATTATTAATTAATCACATAAAATTTATATAATGCATTTAATTAATTAATTAGTTTTTTTTTGAACCGGAAAATATAATATGTAATGTACTCCTAAACTAACACCTAAATCTACCTATGTCCACGACGAGATTTGACCATCGACCTCAAGGAGGGAGGGCACCACCTGATACCGCTGGACTAGAAGCCATTTGGTAATTAACTAATTAGTCGTGACACTCGTGTACTACACATGTTCATTAAAATAAAATAAAATATCAAAGTTTAAACATTAATCATTTTTTATAGTAAAATTTTGAAATAAATACAAACAAAATGATGAATAAATAAGTAATTCAATCTCTACTAATAAAAAACATATTAACATAATTTAAATAATTGTTCTAAATCATAAATTTCCAAAGACTTATTTGAATACAACATTAGATGTTATATTGCTAAGCTTAATATCATTGTCTAAAATTAATATATTAATTCATCTCTGCTTTTAAATCTAGAAAATGAAACACACAACTGCCCATAAGGGAACACTGATTGTCTAAAAAACAACTCCACCTTGGATAGTGAGTGTCCTTAACTCTTGTTTTTCGTCACACAAAATGTACAACAATGTAAATTGTCTTCATTGAAATGTGAAAGGATGTTCTTGGAATAAACGTATGGTTTCCTATATTACTTATGAATATTATCTTTGCTTCTATAACACGATTGCCTAATTCTATAACCCATAACCCCGCACAATTATACAAAACACATTTCTAATCAATATTCCTTAGTAACGTAACTGGAACACCAACTTTTAATACTAACTTATGAATTGGAAAATTTAACGATTTAAGACCATTTAGAACATTAAGCAGGTATAAACTTCCATCAATGTCATTGTGAACATAATCTGAATGACAAAGATTATCTGAAGTTAAGCATTTTTTCAGCTCCCAAAAATAGTGACAACAAATGATCGTTTATTTCTTGAACGACTTCAATTTTCGGTGCAAAGATTGCTATTTCTTGAAAAAAAATAGATTCTTGGCATTTTGAAGAATAGAAGGATAGAAAAATTGAACTATTGAACCAATAAGATGAAATGAAGAAGTAATGAGAAGATCATCGGGGATATCAATAATTGTCCCTCCATCATTTAAACCACTAACATTTCCTTCTTCTATATCCAAAAGCGAGTTTGCAAATGTCGATATTTCTTCAATGTCAAATATTCGAACTTTTAACTTCATGTTTTTCGTTAATCTTAACACTTTGCATTTCACCAAGTGTAGGAGGAACTTAATGAAGAATTAACAATGTCTTGTCTACTCTCGCACACTACATAGGTTTATTATAAAAATTTAAATATGAAGGTTCAATTATTAAACATTTTTAAAGTAAAATTTCAAAATAAATACGACCAAATAAGTACCGGTAGTGGGTTTCCTCGAACTACCGGCTGGTACACCATCCAGCCCCCCGGACTGAAGGGTAAAAGAATATTGCCAAAATATTTTTGTCGTTCAGACTTTTAAATCCATCTCGGGTACTATAAAATCCTTCGTACACTGTGCATTAAATGATTACGTCGTCGCACATAATCTTTCTTGCTTTGATTAGATTTCCCATAATAAATGTTTTAACCGGTACATCTGATTATTTATCGAGTAAGCCTGATATGTTCTTGTAGAAACTTCTTTACATTGTGTCCCCTGTTACTTTCCCATCACTATGACTGGTATGGGTGATGACATGTCTACAGTGGCATCCAAAGTGGACTGCTACATGCTAGAGCGATACACTCATGAATATTACCTTTCTCCTGTACTTAGTTTCTTAGTTCCATCTTCAACTTCGTCTGTTCTTTATGCCCCGCCTGGTAAGATTGGTTTCTATCTTCGACATCTTGTATGTGGGTTACGGTTACCCCCGTATCGCTTCTTCATAGAAGTTATTTGTTATTACAAAGTTCATCTTGTCTTGCGATGTCCGAATTTCATGTCAAAGATTGTCACTTTCGAATTTTTTTGTGTTTCTCATGAGATACGACTTTGTGTCTCCTTGTTTCGCTGTTTTTATCGCTTGAAGAAGTATGGTGACTGGTTTTTTTCAGTAGTCGTTACTTTCCTCTTTCTCTAGATTTAGCTCGTTCGAATGGGAACTGGAAAAGTAGGTTCTGCTGGGTGGACATACATAGCTTGTGTTTACCGTTCCCATGTTATGTTTCACTATGTGATGACTCTGTATCTTTGTCTTCCGATCTTTTTGCGTTTATGCCTTTATTTTTCCTTTTCGTTGTAAAGAGGTAATTTATGCCGGAAGTTGTACTTGCTCTGTGTCATATGAGCCCATTCTGGAAAGCCCTTTGTCAACTACCAGTGTTATCTGTATGTCATGCACGTTTGTCTAACCTTTTACTGGATTTAGCTAGCATAAGTTCTTTTGTCATTTCTTTCCCTGGTTGTGGGTAATCTCCTAATATAAATGCTACCTCCAGGTTTTTCTCTACTCTCATTTATTATTGTAGATGGGAGTAAATGCTCCTTTCAGCTGATATCCTATTTTGTCGGTGATATCCCTCCCAAGTCCATTGTAGTGGATGATGTGGTTCCTGACCGAGATGTGGACCAAATGACTTCGACGCTCGAGTCACCCATTACTTTTCCTGGATTTGGGCCAAATTCTTTCTCTATCGATAAACTTTTGGACATATCTTGTCCTGTGATTGGCTCTGTACAAGTCGATTCTTCTACCTCCGTAGGAGTTGTGCCACCGGGAAGTGTCTCTTCTAGTCGAAATCATAGGCATGTCCTTTTGCCTGATTAGTTTGAACAATTTCTTCATGCGATTTCCCATGTGGGACCTCGTTGCACATCTCCTTCGTCTTTAGGTCATGTTGCCCCTAGGCCGGCTGGGATGTAAATGATTTGGCATGTGTTATGTATTTATGTCTATGAAATAGTTTTTAAATGATTATCTCGTTTTGCTAACGCTGTTTTCCCAATTTTTTAGGTGGGTGTCCTTATTGTGTGTTGTATGAGGAAGATTTGGAGGAAGCATGTTGGTTTATAGCTCGTGCTGAAAAAATTATCTCTGCCACACTTAGGCGAGATCTCAAGTTTTTTGACGGGTTGCTAACCTTGCAAGACTGGTTTCTAGATGCGGAGATGAATTTACGTGTTGCCGAGGGTATGAAGCTTGCAAGCAAGGAAATGCTGGTGAAGGCCGGAGAGATGTATGTCGACCTGTCAATACGTCACTGGGATGCTATGGCCAAGGTTGCTTCACTAGAAAATCAGGGAACGCTTGTCCAGGCGAAGTATGAAGCTTGTCTTTAGGAGAACGGCATACTGCGTGCTCATCTCCTTAGTAAGTCCTGATAGTGTGGCTTAGGTGATTCAATTATGCTTTTTGCATGTAAGCAAGCATGAACTTTGTGTTTTGCTTGTGTGCCTAACCGACTCTTATTTTGTGGCTGGTCTGTTATGGTACATTGATAGTTGTTGATGGTGGTTGTTTGTTGTGGGAACCGCTGATTTTCTAAAGCATTTAGTTAATTAGAAAATTCTTGGGAATTAATTGATTTATGCGTCTAGTAACACTTTTTCCCTGTCCGACAGATCTTAGGTAGATATTTGGCATGTCTCTTGCTGGGTTGATGAAGGGTGTCATGAATAACTAATATGTTTCTTGACTATGCGGGTAGTTTATGTGTAACAGATATATCGATGTAGTTGGTGGATTGAGCTACATGATTTGAAGAATAAGTGTATTCTTAGGCTAAACGGGTAGCCTATTTGTTGAGTAATGATACTCGATGTATACATAAGTGTAGTCGGCAGACCGATCTACATGCTTTGAAGAATAAGTGTATTCTTGGGCTAAGCGGGTAGCCTATTTGTTGAGTAGTGATACTCGATGTATACATAAGTGTATTTGGCGGATCGAGCTACATGCTTTGAAGAATAAGTGTATTCTTGGGCTAAGTGGGTAGCGTATTTGTTGAGTAATGATACTCGATGTATACATAAGTGTAGTCGACGGACCGACCTACATGCTTTGAAGAATAAGTGTATTCTTGGGCTAAGCGGGTAGCCTATTTGTTCAATAACAATACTTGATGTATACATAAGTGTAGTCGGCGAACCGAACTACATGCTTTGAGGGATAAGTGTATTCTTTGGGTAAGCGGGTAGCCTATTTTTTGAGTAATGATACTCGATGTATACATAAGTGTAGTCGGCGGACCGAGCTACATGCTTTGAAGAATAAGTGTATTCTTGGGCTAAGCAGGTAGCCTACTTTTTATATTTGTCATAAAGCGACTGATCTGGCCATGATTTGTGATATCGTCCACATGGTACAGATAGGGTCTAATGATAATAGTTTCTGCTTATTCCGTTCTGGTGCCAATCAATATACTTTCCCTTGCGTATTCAAACATGGTACTTCCTAAGGTTTTTGACATGTCATTTTCTTGGTATCGTCTCACCTTGCATTGTCTATAGGACGTATGATCCATCCCTGTTTGCTTTGTGTAAAATGTATGGACCTTACCATGTTGGACGTATTTTTCCCTGTGGCTCTTGCCAACCGGACTCATTTTTCCATAATACCTTCTCGCATATTTTGAAACAACAGCCTTTGACGCGTTTGTTGTAATAACTTTCTGTTTTCTTTTTATAACGTTCTTGTCGTAATGCTGCTACCTTTATTTGCTCAGTGGAAACATCCAGGTTTGGTCTTATGTTATCATCATTACTATCCACATCCAAATTTGCCATTCTGTTTGTGAGGATAATCAATTCTAATGGCAACACTACTTCTGATCCGTAGACTAAGCTATAGGGTGTTTCTTTTGTTTTCGTTCATGCTGTTGTTCGATATGCCCATAACACACTTTGTAGTTCATCAACCCATCGTCCTTTGGCCTCGTTTAATCGTGTTGTTCTAGCCTAAAACTTTTAAAGTTCTTTGTTAATGCTTTTTATGGTTGACGACGACCATCGTGTCTATACAGGCATGTATGTGTTCACACCCCATCTTAATAACGAATTGCAATCCTACAATGAGTGCTTCATATTTTGATTTGTTGTTTGATTTTTGAAAGTCGAATCTTAACGCGTAGGTTATCTCTTCCCTTGTTGGGCTTTTTAATATCAAGTCGGCTCCCACACTCTCTATAAAAGAGGGCCCATCTGAAAATAATTGCCATTGATTTTCTTGTGTTGCATTCATGTTTTTAATGTTGTCATCTAATCCGTGTATCGATGATACTTCCCTCTGGCCTACTATTTCGGTGACAAAGTCTACCAGTGCTTATGCTTTTATGTTGATTTGTGGTTTGAAAATAATCGTACTCTCTTAACTCCATTGCCCATTTAGTCAGTGTTCCTGACTTCTCTAGTTTCAATAACACTTGACGCAATTGAATATTTGTGAGTACTTCGTTGGTATGTGCCAAGAAGTATCTTCATAGTCTTTTTGTTGCGTTGACTAGGCATAGTGCCAGTTTCTCTATATCTAAATATCCCATATTTTTTCCTTGCAGTATACAACTTACAAAATATATGGGTACTTGTTTGTCTTCTCTCTCTGCCACTAGAACTGCACTGTATTCCCTTCTGGACGCTGCTAAATACATAGTTAAAACCTCACCAAGGATCTATTGGGTTTTATGTACTATAACACTCCTATGGTGCATATACAACCCTAATAGCTTTGGATCTAAGTTTGCTCTAGTTATACATGCAACAAAAATTTCCAAAGCATAAAGCCTACAACTAGCATACAATTTGACATATGAATCACAAAAGTAAGTTAGAAGATTACCTCTTGTTGTAGCTTTTTGAATTTGGCCTTTCAAGAGCTTAGAACCCCAAGTGTTGTGCCTCAAACAAGTCACAAACATCATGAACAATTGGAGAATATTGAGAGAGAGGTTAGGCACCAAGAAATCGTCCATACTCTTGTAATGTCACTCTCTTAGGGTCAATTTTGGCTAAACGGGTTACACATATATAATGTTGAATTCCAAGAGTTATATGTAACCCTAATTCTTACACTTAGGCTTATGATCCATAACTTATATGGACTCATAATTTATGGACTTTCACATAAGCTTAGCCTATTACAAATTAATCGTGGATCATTAGCCCAAACCATATGTCTCACTGATTTACATAATCAGTCCCCGTTAATTTAATTAGTCTCTTTTGATCACTAAATTAATTCCAAATTAATTCTTGATCAATACTAATTAAATAATATGATTTATCAATTAATATATTATACTTATAATATATTAATAAATCACAAATAACCTCTTACTCAAATATCCATCCTATTAAATTGTCCTGATGAAGGCAACCCGAAATGGACCATGCTACTCTAGGGTCAAGTACATACCAATTATAGTTATGGGCTTAGACACCTAATCCAATAGTCTCCCACTTGGATAAGTCTAATAAATATAATTGTAAGTACGAATTCAAAACCTGACTAGCAATCGTAGCTCTCAAAAGTGGCTGTTGAACTCTGATCGATAACGCGTCCATTAGATAAGGGATCATATATTCCTCCATTATAGATATCGTATGAACACGAGACATGGATTATAATGTGACATCCCCATTTCTACGGCCAGAAAAGACCGATTTAATTTATGCTTTTTAATAAAAATCAGAGTAACTTCTTATGAAAAGTATTGCGGAATTTGTTCCCAAAACAAAATATGATATAAATTTTATCAAAGCGTTTCTTAAAGAAATGTATTTCCATTACATTACAAAAACTCGGGATGTCAATCATCGATACAGACCATAAGCATAAACCAAAATGAAATAAACATCTTAGGCCACAAAACACAATCTGGCCTCAAATCCATAATCTCTCGTCAAGTCATCCAACTATGCTTTTGCCACTACCTGTAATACAAGAAACTGAGTGGGTCAGGCTGGGGAGCCTGGTAAGCATATAGGGTTTTCAACCCACAATAAATAAGTTTATTATTTTCAACAATCATTAAACCCGATTACCCATTCCCGTTATCCTCATCTTACGTCCCAAAAGCATCTATCATAAGGGACCTATGGCAACCATGGGGGGGATAGAGTACACCTTGTGAACACGTCATTCACAAACACCTACAGGTTGCGAGCCTGCTAGCGTTCCACTGGACTTCCTAGAAAAGTCTGTGGTCGTCATCCATACTCCGCTAGATGACTGGAACAACGTCAACATTGAGGCCTCTCATCATTTTATTTTACCACACACCAACTATTTTATCTACCCATGTTCTACCCAACATATTTGTAGATATAAAATACATACATGGTCCAGATCTGTAAAATAAAGCTTACATCTTTTATCTAACATAACTTTTAAAACATAAAATACATATATAGTCCAGATCCGAAGGAAAGAAGTTCAGATCTTTCATCCAACATAGATCTCAAAGTATACAGTTTAGATCTGAAGAAAAAGTTTAGATCTGAGGTGAGAAAGTGTAGATCTGAAGGAAAAAGTTTCAGATATGAAAGAAAGACGTATAGATCTTTCATCCAACCAACATCTCAGGTAAACAGATAACATATTTATACACATAGCACATAATTTATATAAAATACTTCATATCTATGTGTAAGATGAAAGTGACTATACTCTCACTTGATACGGAGTGATTCGGACAACACCTCGCTTCTAAAAATAATATTCTTTGACGAAACCGAGAAGTTTTCTTGAAAACCGGGCTCCACGTGGGCAGAGTTTCAAACCAAAAAACTCTTTTTCTTGGAGCCTTCGGGCTCTCCGGGGCTTCCTTCGGGGGCTAGGGGGTTTTCCTAGGCTTTAGGGGGTTTAGGGATCTTAGAGAGAGAAACTAGTGAGAGAAAAAGGGTGGAAAAGAGTGGGAAGGCCGGCTGCCCTCGCACCCTTTATATAGGCCGAAGCCTCGGTTGTACGTTGGACGTACAGATCTTCGAACGCGGGGCGTAGTTCGCATCGTAGAACACGTGGCAGCGTTTCGGTGGGGCGACGTAGAGGCTTGTGGACCGAGGAATGCAGCTGTACGTTGGGCGTTCCAAGGTCGGACGCTGGGCGTACCGAAGGCGACGTGTCTCCATCCGAAGCGAGTACCGAGATCAGCAACGGACGGCTGGGATCTTGCCACGTCATCGTTCTTGCAACAAACTTCGCAATTTCTCATTCCGACTTCAAAAATTCGTATCCATCGCATACGAGCTCCGTTTTCGACGTTCTTTATATCCACGCGTAGGCGGGAACGTACTCTACAACTTTCGTTTTGACTTCGTCGGCTAACTTTGACTTTATTCTAAAA